GTGTCCCCTGCATCGGCAGGCGGACTCTCAACCACTGCGCCACCAGGGAAGCCCTCATTTCTGTTTTTATCTTTACTAATGCTTTCTTTCTATTTCCATGGGGATCATTTTGTTGTTATTTTTCTAAGCTCACTGTCCTTGAGCTAAACCTAACAACAAAGAATTGGCAAATCCACAACTATAACGAGTAACTTCTAAAAATGGTTCTCAGGAACTGGCAGAGCAAGCAGGACAAGGCAACGTAAAAAGAGGATTTGGAAGATTTGAACATGCCAGTTAATAAGCTTGAAGATATGCATATGAAATTTTGAACCCAACAAATAAAAACAAATCTTCTTTTCAAACTCCAGTGGAACATTTAAAAATAGTAACCACCGATTAGACCACAAAGGAAATTTCAAAAAATCCCTGAGAGCCAAATAACATACAGGCCAACCGCAACAACAGCAAAATTTGTTAATTAAAACCAAACAAAACCCTCACTCTTAAATATCTCTTAAAGAAAAAATATAATGCAAACTATGGATGCTATACCTTTTCACATCTATAAGGCTATTAATTATAATTTTGAAGTTTTAGTCTGCTCTCTGCATTGTTTTTGTTTCCTCTGAGTTTATTCGTTTGCTTATTTTAATCTTTGTCTTTAGAGTCTTTTCTTGTATATCATGATATTTCTGGCTATGTGTTCACATGCAAGGGTAAGGCACTAAAAGGCTCATTCAGTGTTTATTGCACATTTTGAGAGTTTATTGATTAATAAGCTTCATTTTGCGTCAAGGCACTGAAATAGCTCTTTTATTGGGAGAACTTGCCTAAGCCAGATGTCAGTATTTTCTCTTGGGAAAATCTCTTTTCCCAGCAAGGAACCTTCCAATCTTTGCACCAAAGATGAGAACACTAGCTACTGCCATCATTCTGGTCAGGAAGGACCACAAGGTTCAGAAGGCATTCTCTGTCCTCTAATGCTCTAAGTCCTTTATTCATGTCATTAACAAAGTACTTCCAAGTTTTTATCTTGAAAGCAGAAGCAAGAGCAGAGAGACACTGCCCAGAGTTTCGAGTCAGTTGGTAGCAGAGGTGGAATTCCTTTCATCCACTACCAAGATGAGGATTAAATGCCCAGAGACTCACATGTTAGTGGCTGAGTTGGTGTTACTTCTGCTATAGATCCTCTGCTTATGTGAAGCCAAGTGCTTTCTGTGTTCCAGATGGAAAAGCCTCAGATTTTCCAACTGATGATGATTTCTTTCCTTGTTCTTAAGTGTCGTTATGGTTTAAGTTCTGATTCAGTCATTTTAGTGAGGATTTGGGAGGCTGCATAGTAAATTCATGTGTTCAGTTCCTTGAATCATGAGTCCAAATTATTTCGTGAGGACAGTTATAGCCTTTTACAAGTGTCCTGGTTTGGCTTCCTTCTGAGTAGAAGTGGAGCATCTTTCTCAGGTTCCCCAGTTGTCATAAGAATATGTGAACTTCTTTTTTTTTTTTCTTTTCTGTACGCGGGCCTCTCACTGTTGTGGCCCCTCCAGTGGCAGAGCACAGGCTCCGGACGCGCAGGCTCAGCGGCCATGGCTCACGGGCCCAGCCGCTCCGCGGCATGTGGGATCTTCCCGGACCGGGGCACGAA